TTGTAGGGACCGGATATAGCTATAAAGGAGTTGTTGCCAGCTTGTGAGGAAAGAAGGTGTGCTAGGCATATACTAGCAAATTGGTCAAAGAATTAGAGAGGGCTGCAAAGGAAGAATCAGTTCTGGAAGTGTGCTAGAAGTACTTTTGAAGCTGAATTCAGAGAAAATCTGCACGAGTTGTCTAAATTAGGTACTGGAGGTACAGGTATAGTGGATGACCTAATTTACTATGATAAAGAATATTGGTGTAAGGTGTATTTTAATTGTGAAGTCAAGTCTGATGCAATAGATAATAATATGTGTGAAAGCTTTAATGCTTGGATTTTGTCTGCAAGGCATAAAACCATTATTTCTATGCTTGAAGAGATAAGAATTAAGGTCATGAATAGGTTAGCTAGGTTAAGTGAATTTCCAAACTCTTGGATTAGCAATTTCTCTCCAATGGCAATGAAAGTACTAGAACAAAATATTGATAAGTCAATGGCATGTAACATTGAGTTCAATGGAGTAACTGGCTATGAGGTTTTGGATGGATACAAACAACACACTGTATGTTTGAGAAAGAGGGAGTGTAGTTGTAGATCTTGGATGTTGAAGGGTATACCATGTGCACATGCCTTAGCTGCAATGTTGCATAAACAATATGACCCACATGATTTCATTCATCCATGCTACTCTAAAGAGAGGTACTTGATGACTTACTCACATTTCATACAACCTATGAATAACATGCCAATGTGGCCAGAATAAAAAAATCCTCTTGTTGATCCACCAGTGATAAAACAAATGCCAGGCAGACCTAGAAAGTTGAGAAGGAAAGAGGTTGGTGAAAAGAAGGTGTTTGGTAAATTATCTAAAACAGGACTAACTATGACATGTAGTCTTTGCCATGTTAAAGGTCACAATAAAAGAAGTTGTCATTTACGAAGGAGTGATGGAGTTGGTTCTACTGCCGGGGAAAAGAGAGCTACCCCTACTTCAAATGTTGAAGAACCATCAAGTTCAAAAAAAAGGAAGGGGAAGACCAAAGGTACATTACTATTTTGTCACTTACTTTTAAAGTGTAATCAACTTACTAATATAATATTTTTTTTGCTAATTAGAAATCAACAAATATTGAGAGTGAGCCTATTGCCAAAAGGGGGAGAGGCAAACCTAAAAACACAAGTGCAAATGCAAGTGCAACAGGGGATTCATATACAATTATTGCACCTCCAACAACTTCAAGAACAACAAGAGCTAGAGCAAGTGCAAGTGCATTAATGGCCTCTCCTAGAACCACTGCACCTCCTACAACTTCAAGAACACCAACACATGAAGAATGTGCAAGTGTAACTGGTGTTGGAGTATTATCAAGATCCAGGAGTGGTAGAGGAAGGGGTAGGGGATTGGGAAGTGCAGGAAGACGTGGTAATCATCCATTTGAAAATTGGTTTACATGTTCTCAAGGTAGTACAACACATGGTGTAGACCAGAACACAAATGTTGCACCAAAGGAAACTGCTACTACCAGGAAAGGCAAGGATGTTGAAAACACAACTCAATTTAAAAGGCCAAGAGTCACTGGTATGGGTGTGCTTCAAGCTAAAAATGGTTTCAAAAATTTCAATGTAAGTATTGCGATGCATTCATATTGTTTGTTCTCTAATAACTTGCACATTTATTCTCTAATAATCTTAGTTCTCTAAAAATTTTGTAGCCTGGACTGCCAAGTAGCACAATATTAGCCGGACCAAAGAGAGTTTTGAGATCAAGTATTGTAACTGGGGATGTTGGTTTCAACCGACAAGCGGATTGAAGTGGAAAGGAAATCAGGCAATCACAACTAGAAGGCTCTAGCAGATTAGAGATCAATCAAGGCTTTCAAACCCAAATGCTTCCTCCTCTTCACAAGCTCAACACCCATGGAAACTATAATGTTGATTTCAATGGTGTTTTATCAGTACTTTGTTGGTGGCCACTATAAGTACTATTTTGTTTCATGTTTGAAGGAAAACTAAATATTCCTATTTTTTGTGATAGTACTGAAATTACGGGTACTTATGCAATGTGAAAACTTTGTTTTGCGTATGTGTTGTGACTTGTATAATTTTGGGCACATTTAGATTTTGTACTGAAAATTTGCTCTTAAGCAATGAAATTCTGGGCACCTATGTGCTGTGACTAATTCTCGACATTTTTACAATCAACTTTGTACAATTTGCTCTCAAGTATGATTAATACATGTTGCTTTACCTCATTTTACAACTTCCAACACAAACATATCAACATGACAAATAGATAATTAAGACAGTTTCAAACACAAACAAATTCAATTTTACATTACAATAGAGCAAATAAAGGTTTTGTAGTACCACAAAAATTATGGCAATTTCATATGATCCTTATACCTACCAACTTGGGTTAGAAAAATAACAAATACAACAACAAAACAAATCATCAGACAACAAAGGAATTTGCCAAAACAACAGCCTTTATTTGTTTTCTTCATTTTCATCCCTTTCATCTTCTTCTTGTCTTTCAATTCACCCATTTCTTTTACGTTGTCAACCTTCTCCTTTGAATTGATGTTCAGATTTTCATAACGATTTCGAAGACTTTCACCTTCATCCAAAGGAATTTTCTCTAGTTTTGACTGTTCAATGTTGGAATTATCAAGCTGTTCCAGTTGCATCTTCACACGCTCATAATTTTTTTCTAACTCGTTAATCATATTCACCAATTTAGGAATAATAAAACGAGATCTTTCATCAACTCTCTCCGTGTCTCTACATCTAAAGAAATTACAGTTTGTGGCCACATAGTGAGGACAAGACCAAAATCGTGTTCCGGGATTGCGATTTGACCAAGACGTCTGCATTTGCAGTAAGATTCCATGCTTGCATCGCACTTCCGCGTTAAACATTGAATCGTTCTCATCCATACACAACTTATTCAACTCGGATTTTGTCATAACCCTAACTTTATAAACATTGTCAAAAAAAAAATAAGAATTAATAATCGACATAAAAAGATGTAAAGAATATATTAAATTTTACTTTACCTATTCAAATCAAGGAGCTTGAATGATAATGGATCTTCTTCAAAAATGAAGAACCATAAACATGGTGTTATTTTTTGAAAAGAGGAAGAAGATGCTTTTGAGAGAAACAATAAAATTCATTTTTGTATTTTTTTTCAAATTGCTTTGATACGTGGCTCATTTTTATTGGCCATTGTTAACCAAAAGCTGCACTCACTCTGTCCTCACTCCACACTCACGCGCCCTACATGGGTGAAATCACGTTTTTTGCCACGTAGGCACGCAAGGGGTAATATATTACTTAAAAAATAAGTTGGAGGGGGTAATAGGACCTTATCAAAGATAAGGTGTGTCGTAGGAATTTTGGGTATAGGTTAGGGGGGTAATTGGGTATTATCCCTAGATATTAATAAAGAGTGATAAAGTTATTACTGACGCTTCCATCTACAGAAGTCAAGTCCAGATAAATAACAATGCATTGTTGGTCCCATAAAGTTTTATATTTCCTAGTTTTTGTCTACTGCGCCTAATGGGTAATTGGGAGAGTTGGAAAAATAGTCACACTCCAAACTTAATTCAACATTAAGACGAAAGTCTTGAAAAATTTGTGGTATATCACTATTAATGACATCATCCATGTGTCCTAATTGGCACATACAAAAGACCTCACTAAGTTTTAATATCTCCACTTTGATCCCCATTTTTTCCATGTAGTTTGGAATAATATATATCTATTTGCATTTGTTAAAATTTATATTAGAAAGAAAAGAAGAAAAAATTTAAACAAATGGGAAAGAAGAGCAGAGTAGAGATTGTTTTGCTGATGTCAAAACTGATGAATCTTGCGAGTATTCCGGCCAAAATATCCATTTTCATGGTAAAATCATCATCATTTAATCCTCCATAGTCATGTTTACTTCATTCTTTTTCAAAAACTAAACTTCAAAATGATTTTTTCGCTATTTTAGATATTTGAAAAATCTTCCATAATAAATACTTTATAACTCATTAGAGATACATTTTAGTGGTACAAAAGCATTAAAAATGTGTTTCACCCCATTGCAGGAGTTGCATTTTGAACCACGATCTCATTCAGTCGCGTTTCTGTATGGTCTCAAACTTCATCGATCGTTAATTACTGATACTGTCATCTAGTATATGCTTTGCGATCGATAATGGAAGTAACTGAACTTGTTGTTGCTGGTGGTTATTATGTGGGAGTATGGGAGGAGACTCCCAAAATATTGAATTGGAAATCTATTAGTAAGACAACAGTTCCAATTACGTTGCGTCTAATGGTTCATATGACGATATGATTGCAAGTGTAATTGAGGTCGGTAAGTTAAATTGCGAGCCTAATGACTTGGTGATTAGCTGTCAAATGAAGGGAAGAGAAAAAATACATCCCACATTCATAAAAAATGATAGACATGTGAGCTTGTGCATGTTAGATATTGGTCTTGATCGCTCTAGGCCTACATTGAGGATAAACGTCAATGCGAGGCCTCCAATTGAACCAACAAATTCATTTAATGGTGACAATGATTCCATTGGAAATGAAAGATTGGATGATCATTGAAAGTAGAGCTTGAGTGATAATTCAAATGAGAGCTTAGGTGATCATTCAATGAATATACATGATGATCCAACTAATGTGGAAAATCAGCTAATAGATGCGGAAGATCCTGAACCGAATGTTGTGAAGAAATGCAGGGACAAATGGAATTGAAATCACATTCCAACCATTCCATCTCCGATAAAACTAACTTATGAACAAACCAAACTTTTAGTAATAAGAATGAGTTGAGATTGTTATTATCCAAAGCGGCTGCAAAAAAATCCTTTGATTTTGCTATTCTGAATAGTTGTACTAAATACTTAAAGGTGAAATGTGTATCTCGCCAACTGTGTATGTATGTTCCAGGCGAGGAAATGTGAGAGTTCACATAAATTTTGTATCTATAAGTACATTAGCGAACATAGTTGTGACATGGAACATGCCAACATTTAGCCATAGAAAAATTTCAATCAAAGTGATTACTTCACTTTGTGTATATATGTATCATGATGACAAGAGTCCAAATGTTAAAGTATTCAAAGAGATGTGTGTAATTTTTTTCATTGTAGTCCAATCTATTGAAAATATAAGAAGTGTGGCTGCTGAGCAAATGGTTCGACATACAACGGAGAACAAACATTAATGTTTACCAGCTTTTTCTTACGTGTTTGAGACAATTAATGTTGGTTCTAGTTTTGTCTCATGGTAAACGAAGATAGTCATAAGTTCATGCATTATTTCTTGGCGTTCGGTGCTTGCATTAAGTGATTTCCCCACACGAGAAAGGTAATTATGATTGATGACACTCATTTACATGGTAAATACGAAGGCATGTTGTTGATGGTTGTTGCACAAAATATGGAAAATCATGTTTATCCGATTGCCTTTTGTGTCGTGGACAAAGAAAATGATCCATCTTGATTCTTGAACATTCTTCTTTGTGAAGTTGAAGAAGATTGAGATTGACAAACCACTTTGTGTTTTATCTCTGATAGACACAAGAGTATCACCAACAGTATTGTGAACATTTACAATCATGCTCACCACATATATTGTATGAGTCACTTCGGTGAAAATATCTGTGTAAATTATAATTGTGGAGATTACCTTTATCATTACTATAATGTGCCAAAAGCTTTTTCTTTGGAGGAGTTTGATAATCATTTTTTAGAATTCAATAATAAATGCCCCGTTGCAGCCCTTGTCCTTGAGCATGATATTTGTTTTGAGAAGTGGAGAGGGCACATTTTCCTAGCAATAGATATGATGTTATGACCATGAATATAGTTGAGTCAGTCAATGCTATGTTGATAGATGAAAGAAAGCATCCAGTTGCATCTTTATTTAATTTGATTGCTAAGAGGTATGGAGAATTATTTAGGGAGAGACATGCATATATCCACAAATAAATGGGTGATCAAATGGTGCCGGCTCCAAAAAAATTGCAAGAAAACAAATGACTGAGGGTAACTCCTTGAATGTGGAGAATGTAACCGAGGACGCCAATCAATTTACCATTTTCGGTGTGAGTGTTACTGCCTATGTGGACCTTTGAAAATGCCATGTTCATGTAGGGAATATGACTTGATCAAGATACATTGTGCTCACGCGATGACCACTTTGTGATCGAAGCATGTCAATGAGTATGGTATGAGCATCCATGAGTACTCTTCGCCTTTGTATAAAGTTGAAGTGTACCTTCTTACATACATGAATTCTGTTAATGGTGCCCCTCTCGAGTCGGAATAGTGTGTTCCAACTGAATTGCTTAATGTGAAGATTCTTCCGCCTTTTTTTGATATCAAGCTTAGAAGAAAAAAAAGAAAACATGTTAAAGGCATTGGTTAGAATTTCAAGAGTTAGAAAAGGAGCAAATGTTCAATGTGTAAGAGAATCCTACACAAGAGAATTACATGTGTTAACAACAACAAATTGTAAACAAATATGATTTTGAATTTGCTTTTGTAATCAAGCTACTCCTTTTTTTTTTGCTACTGTAATCAAGCTTACTGTCAGTATTTTTGTTCAATTTAGTATCAACGATTATGGTAACTAGTCATGATCTAATATAGATCAATGAAAAGCTGAAATGCATTTTTTACGCCATCTATTAATGTTAATTATCGAGTCGTGCATGTTCTCTATTAGACGGTGTATTATTAACAAATGAAGATTCATAATATTTGCGAGGCAATAAATTTAATGCATGAATTAGAATAATTAAAGAAGGAAGTGTTTTAAAAAAGGTCATAATGTGAGTTTGTGTATTTTAATGCATGTGTACCTGTATGTATATGAAAATATGTACTGGTTGTATATCAAAAAATCAAATGTCACTTGTGAAATATGTATATGAAAGTATGTACTGGTCGTCAAAATATATATACCTCTTAAACAATTGATGCATATCAATGTGTGTAGTGTATGTATGATCAATGAGATTTACAGTCTAACATTAGTAAGGTATATTCTTATTTATGTCTATGTTAA